CGGTGAGGGCCGGAGGGCCGTTAGGGCCTCAGGGCCCCCGCCCGAGCCCGGGCCGCGGGGCCAGCTCCCCGGGCGCCAGGCGCTCGCAGCAGCCTGAGGAAAGGCCGCCACCCCCAATTTCCTCGACCGAGGGTCCAACCCAGAGCAATAAAGCTGGCTGTCATTCCTCCAGCAAAAAAAAAAAAACACAACAAACTAAATTATGAAGACTGCTATAGAAACCACTTTTTAAAAAGTCACCTGTTGCACGAAGCGCTGCAGCCCCTCCCTCTGCCAGGCTCTCTGCGGCACCTGACACTGCGCTTCCCCGTTTTTGTTGCCCGCACGCAGTTATGCTAAAAGTCAGTAGTAGCAGATCTTATTCTATCTACTTGAGTACATTTTGCTTATTTTTTATTCCTCACTGGAGGATACTGTTCCCATTGCTTTTCAGGCAGAGCCGGCGAGGGAGAAACTTGCACGTGAGACGGGCGGGAGCCTCCCGGGCGCCGGGCGGGCTGGACGCTGAGCCCGCAGCGAGCCGACTCCAACCGCTGCGCGACTGCCGGGGCTCGCTTTTCATTATCAACCCTCACCCGAGGGCATGTTTTCCATTCATTTTATTTACTTTTTCAAATATATTATTGATTTCTGAGAGGAAGAGAGAGACGCATCTGCTGCCTCAGCCCCCGACCGGGCCCCTCTGAAGCCCAGGCCCAGCGGGCGGAGCGAGCCGCGGCCCTGCGGGCGCAGGAGGGCGCCTCCCACGCCAGGGACTGCTCTTTGCTCCCCGGGCGCACACACGTTAAGGACCCCTTCAGGCGCACGCAGCCCGCAGCGCACACGCCGCACGCTGTGCCCGCCGGGCCGGGCCGCGCACCTCGGGCGCCTGCGCTGCGGGTTCAGAGGCAACCGACCCAAGTTTCTGTGTGTCTGTCCCTTCCTCTCTGTAAAAACAAACATACATCTCAAATGAGGATTAAGAAAGAGAAAAAGAGAAGAGGCTGTGCCCTGCCCACGCCGCAAGCCTGTGAGATCTGGGCAGGGCTGAAACAGGACCGTCCGCGCAGCTCCATCTGAGGGTAAAAACGGAAACGCCGCCACCGATTCAAATCAAAAAGCAAGTGCGTGAAATTAAAACGATTTATCCCTAATCTTAATAACGGTTTTTACTGTCCTCTTTGAGGCCCCTGCCCTGCTGGCGCCGAGCAGGGTGCCCTCGGCGCCCAACAGCCCAGCGCCGGGAGCGCTCCTCAAGCGCGCGGCCCGCAGCTCGCCCTCCCTAGGACCAGGCTGGCCAGCGGGCGGCAGCTGCTCAGAGCTGCCCCTTCCTGGCTGCTTGGACGGCTCGGTCCGCGTCGAGTGAGGCGACGGGAGCCCAGGCGCTCGGGAAAAGAGCCTGGAAAGCT